TGCACCATGATTTGTTTATTTAGAGCCTCTTGAATAATGTTTTCATAATGTCATTAGTGTATACCACTTCATACACACATGCACATCTATCCTAATAGAATAGAGCTGAAGTGTGGCAGAGGGGTCACAGGGTCATGCATATTTAAACAGAAACTGAAGGCATCACATGATATTCATTGCACCGGCTTGCAGGTGAGAGGAAATGGACAGATGTTCCTAATTATGGTGGATGACTTCTTGCAGACATAAAGAATCCATTGCAGAGTGGCCAATTAAGATTATTTAAGATTTCAAAATGCCAGATTATAGGGTGTTTACTCTGTAGAGACAGGTTAAACAGACACTAAAGCTGGATAGCAGCATAATTCGCCAGCCTCAATCCATTTTTTTTCTTGATGGAATGTTATTGTTCTTTATATCATGATCTTTATTATCTTTACATACATTTTTGGTGGTATTTTTATTTAAAACGACATAATGATTAAAAATAAAACTTGACTCTTGTAAATAAAATGCTATGTATGATGTTTAGTTATATAAAATGTTTTGTTTTTAAAGGGTTAGGAAAACAAAGCGTCTAGAATTTACATCACAAACCTTTGAAGGATAAAATCACATAGCATGACACTTGTTGTACAGTTTTTATATACAGTGTAGTAATATGTAATTTTATAAATAGAAAACAAAGTGGGTTTCGGCAAACCACTGGAAAGTTTTCAATGCATAAATAATATGTTTAAGTTACCACTGCACTGGTCTCTGGAAAAATAAGCTGCGATTTATTTGATGTTATTACACGGCTTTGTGGAATACTTGATTCTGATTGGTCAATCGCGCCATCCAGCGGTATGTTATTCCCAGATAACAACCACCAAATTGAATAACACACCGCTCATCCGGGTACTACGAGTTATCTTGACATTTTATATTTTAATTCAGGTTCATTTGACAAACAGTACCTGCACTACAGTACTTGTAATAATAGTGATACTTGGCTCAGCATGCACTATTAAGGACAAATTGTGTGAGAGACAGGTGATGAATACAAATGTCAAGGTATGTGCACATAAGCAATCGGTGTCGGAGGGGTCACAGTGGTTTGTTTTGGGGTTCTGGATGTTCTCACGGCAGGTGTTCAAGGGCCCTGGAGGATTATTCATATGTCCATTCTCATGTGTAGCTCACGCAGATGCCACTTACACAAACACTCTTTCATTATTTATAGTTAATGTAGTGTGAAAACATCATCTGTATGCTACCAAACAAAGGAAAAAGGAGTATGCTGTGTAGGCAGGGATTCATATGGTCATCTCAAAACAGACAGATGTTGCCCATGGCCTTTTATCATTGCTGGTTGGGTTTGGTTCATAGATCAGAACTGATGGTGCTGTTACATATAGCACTCTTGTACCGGTTACCCTATAATACTATCAGGTTTACACTGACCTCTACTGGTCGCTGTCGTTACCGCATGTAGTTCGTCTTTCTGCGTGTAGATAGCGCACATGAACAGATAATGACCCCAGAATGTGGGGTTTGACAGCTACTACAACAGTATGTCAGCACATACAAAAAAACTGTTAGTTCCCGTTGAAAGCAAGCACATTGCAAGTTAGCTGTTTGTGTGGTTTCCATTTGTCCTGGGTTCAAATGAATTTATAAAGGAATAATTCCTGCCTCTTCACATGCGTGGATGGATCCAGATGCTTCTAACCACAGTTTCAGAATCAGAATCAGAATCAGAAGAGCTTTATTACCAAGTATGTTTACACACACAAGGAATTTGACTTGACGACAGGAGCTTCCAGTGTAGAAGAAAGTACAAACATAGTGCAGACATACATGATAGTGTAGACATACATAGGAATAACACAGTAGGGATGTAATATAAAAAAAATAGAAAAATTGAATAATGTACTATATACAGAAATAGAAGTATAGGAAAAAATGTAATTGTTTAGATAAATGTACAGATAATCTTCAACTGATCATTGGAGCTGTGTGAAGTTCCCTGCTTGGATGGGGGCCAGTTGGTCAGCGCATACTTTTAAACAGGCAGGTGAAACACCATCTGGGCCAGAAGCTTTTC